CTGTCGCCCAGAGAGGTTAAGTCACCTGCTTGAAGGCACACAGCTAGGCAGTGCCAGAGCTGCAATTTGAACCCAGGCTGCCTGGCTTTAGAGTCAGTACTCATAAGCATTTTCTTAGCTGCCCCTAAAGTAGTGACTATAGGACCGGGACTGGTAATACATGACAGGGGACAAGCCAGCTGGATACAGGGAGAGCCAGGGACAAGGCAGCTTAGCTGGAGGGATCAGGAAAGCCTCAGACTGGGCAAAAGGTGAGGATCATATACCAGCTGGGACAGAGAGTTGCAGGGAAGAACATCCTAGGCAGAGGGAACAGAACGTGCAAAGGTGCTGAGGTGGGAAAGAAGGGGGCTTATTCAAGAAATGGTGAGTGGGACGAGATGAGAGCGGGGCCAGGCCAGGGTAGGAGTTGGTGAGTCTGGGCTGCCTCTCTTCGCAGTCTCATCCTGTAGGTCAGCGGCTGGATTCCCTGTCCTCTGCCTGTGGTGCCATGGGAGGCTGGAGAGGGCCGAGGACACACAGACGCCTGGCCCTGTGCCCACCTGTGCCAGAGGCCCTGCAAGCTGAGGCTGGCAGGCTTGTTGTGGTTTGCTGGTGGCAGCCTGTGAACGTCTGTTTGTTGTGGTGACGGTCGTCACATTGGGCCCACACCTGGGCAGCCCCGGGCCGCCTGGCCATCTGGGCCCAGCACTGACGTGTATGACGGACCTGGCAGCGGCCGGTGGCCTGCGGCCTGTTTCTGAGCTGTCTCCACGGAGGCCTCACCCCCTCCCTCTGACGGCTGTGCTGCCGCCCCACGGAGCCCGTGTCACTCCCTACGCAGGCCTGATGACCCTGATGGGCAGGTAGGTGAGGAGGCCAGGACCGTACTCCTGAGCACCCAGCCCATGTGCTCGGAGCAGCCTCGGTCCCTCCCCGCGCCCAGGAGGAGGGGCATGTGGGAGCTCACATTTACCCAGTGCCTTGGTCCTCTTCACCTGACCCCTTCCCGCCTGGCCCGGCTGCAGCTGGAGAAGCTCCCTTGACAGCTAGGGAAACTGAGGCCTGGTAGGGGGAGCCCATGTCACCACCTTTGAGGACCACAGGGTGGGGGATGGGTGTGCAGGTTAGGGCCAGAGAAAGGTGAGGCAGGGCCCAGAGCAGGTGGTGTGGGGCGGGGTGCGGTCCTGAGGCCCAGAAGACCCCCGAGTGCATTGTTCATTTTTAACATAAAATGTTTTACTTTCTGGTTACAAAATGCTTCAAGCGTAAAATAAAAGCTCCCAGTAATTCTCATCACGTAGGGTGGCTGTTTTTCGCCCCTGTGGAGAGGCTTGTAAGAACTGCAGTGAGTGGTTATGGGCCGTCACGTAGGCCTGCCTACCATGCGCTGAGCCTTTGCTGAGCACTGGCAGAGGAGCCCATTTCTCGGAGCCCTGTTTCGGAGATGCAGGACTTGAGGGCCGAGAGGAGGGTATCTGCTAGGTCTCGGGAAGGGGGTAGAGCCAGACTTGTTCAGGCTGCCACATGCTAACTGCAGCATTAGCAACACTGGCCTGGCCCCTGGCCTCCTCAGTCCTCAGGCCCTGCATCCCAGGGCCCCTGCACACCATGCCAGAGCTCAGTGGTCACTTGGACCCAGGAGCAGCCTGGGAGTGGCCTCAGAAATGGCCCTGTATACCTTGGCTTCTCTGCTTTCCTCTTGCCATGGAGAATGTGCCAGGCTCTAGGAAACCCAGGGCAGCGTCTGGGTTCCTGTTCCGCAGGAGACGTCACAGCACTCCCCAGGGGGAGTATAACAGGCCAGTCCCTTCTGCCACCAGGAGAAGCTCCAGCAGGAGGGGGTGCCGGGAGCAGCGGGCCTGGCCCATCGTGGTATCCAAGTCAACAAATCTTGGAGCCACTCCTGGCTGGACCCCTGTCATACTGTGCAGCATCTATGTTCCTTGAGTAAAATAAGGCTAAGATCTCCTCCCCCTAGGGTTGTCGAAACATCTGGAATAGATGGGAAGGGCCACTTGTGTGGTCAGCAGGCTGCTGCTGGACAAGAGAGAGACCCACCCAGCCCCTGACAACGGGCCGTGTTGCCTCATCTGTAAAATGGGAAGAAAACACCTTACACAAGGGTGCCTTGGGGGGATCCCTGGGTGGCTCAGCAGTTTGGCGCCTCCCTTTAGCCCAGGGTGTGATCCTGGAGTCCTGGGATCGAGTCCCACATTGGGCTCCCTGCACGGAGCCTGCTTCTCCCTCTGCCTGTGTCTCTGCCGCTCTCTCTCTCTGTGTCTCTCATGAAAAAGTAAATAAAATCTTAAAAAAAAAAAGGGTGCCTGGGTATCACAGTTGGTTGAGCGTCCAACTCTTGGTTATGGCTCAGGTTGTGATCTTGGGATTGTGAGATTGAGCCTCCCATCAGACTCTGTGCTCATTGCAGAGTCCACTTGGGATCCTCTCTCTTTTTCTCTCTCTCTCTCTCTCTCTCACTCTGCGCCTCCCACTTGGGTGCTGTCTCTGTCTCTTTCAAATAAATAAGTAAAACTTAAAAAAAAAAAAAAAACCACCAAACACCCACGCCCTTCAGGCTTGCACTTGAGCTCATGATTAGGCAACTGGTATACCTCAGTGCCAGGGGAGTGGCTGGTGGCACCCAGTGAATACTATTTGTAGAAACTTGTTTCCTGTGACCACTGGGTTGTTCCCAGACAGGCCTGGGCTGGGGTCAAGTACCTCTGATGCCAGCAGAGTGCTGGCCTGAGTGCCTTATGTGATAACTACCAAGTAGGTGCTTTTTATCCCCATTGTCTGAATGAGGATCCTGGCACTCAGAGAAGAAAGGGGACTTGGCTAAGGGTACCCAGCCTCTAAGGGGCGAAGGTGGGATTTTAATTTGGGGCAGAGGAAGCATTGCTTTTGGCTGCAGAGGTACACCAAGAGCTGAGGCTGGTGTGCAGTGAGCAGGGCTCCCAACCAGCTCTTGGCATTGAGCACTGGTACCACCTGGGTCAGGACCTTCCACTATGCCACTGGCGGCCGGGGCATAGGCAGACCTACCTCAGAGCCAGGCATCTTGCGGTGGGAGTGTACTTGGGTGTCTTCTCTGGACAGGCTGCAGGTGCCTGCTTGCATCATCCCTGGTGCTCTGCCCACCCACTCCAATGCAGACCCTGGGACCCCAGCCCCACTGGGGCTGTTCTATTTCTTGGGGATTCATCATGCTCTGAGGACAGTCAGGGCCATGCGTCGCCTTCCCTGTGACAATAATGACCCTGTTCCATCACTCGACAGTGGTGTCGGGCCCTGCCCAGCTGCCGGGTCCAAGCCAGGTTCATGAATGAGGCAGTGAGGCCACATGGTGAGGTGTGGCGGAAGCTGGATCTGAACCCAGTTCCGAGGTGGCTCCTGGGGCTCTGGTCTCCCAGTGCTCTGTGCACACTCCTGCCAGGTGGCTCCGGGCCTGGGGTGGCTCCTGGTTCCTTGGGTGGCTGGTGGTGCCCCGGTGGCAGCTGGGTGACACAGGCACAGAGGGAAGAACAGGTATCAGGGTTACCCCTGGGCGGTGGGAAGGATGCCCCCGAGGAGCCAGCAAGTGCTGTGTGCTCTCGGGGAGTCCTGGTCAGGTCCCACCTCTGCCACCACATCCTCAGTAACCTGGGCAAACCACCTCCCCCTCTGGAGAATGGAGCCCCGGCCCGGCGCCTGGGAGCAGGGCCTGTGGGCTCAAGCCTGCGTCCCCGCCCACGGGCCCTGTGATGTGTCCCAGCCTTGCTCTCCTGCTTGTGAGATGCCGTGGGCCCTCCTGGGCGCCGGCCCCAATGAAAGCCGCCGCTGCCGTGCGCAGCTGGCCACCCTCTGTCTCGAGCCCGGGAGGTGCGGGCCTGGGGCCTTGGAGCGGCGAAGCCCGTCTCTGTCCTTAGGAGACTCGGGCCTGTCCCGGGCCCTGGGGCGGGAAGCGGGCTTCCTGGGGTGCTCTTGGACATGCGGCAAAGGCAAGAGGTTGGTGGGGTTGGCAGAGAAGCAGGCACCAGGCTTCGGCAACTCCTCGGCCTGTATCTGCTCCAAACTGCCCAGCCACCCCTGAGGTGGGCGTCTGCGCTCCAAGGTGGCAGAGGGGTGACAGCCGAGGCGGGACGTGAAAGGAGCTCCGTCTACCTCAGATGCCCCCTGGCGAGGTCCGCACCACAGGTGGGAGGAGGAGGCTGTGGCTCTTGGCTACCACCACAGGCTGGCGGCTTCACAGAAGCTTCTGTCTGAAGTTCTGGAGGCCGGAAGTTCCATGAAGGTGCCGCCGTTCCAGGCCTCTCTCCTAGCTTCTGGTAGCCTTAGGAGCCCGGTGGCTTGCAGGTGGCCGTCTTCTCGTTCTGTCTCCTCACCTTGTCTTCCGTCTGTGCATATCTGTCTCTGTGTCCCAATTTCCCCTCGTGGTAAGGCCACCAGTCATACTGGATTAGAGCCCACCCTGACCTTATTTTAAGTTGATCATCTCTGTGAGGACCCTGTCTCCAAATAGAGTAACACTGAGGTACTAAGGCTTAGGATGTCAACACACAGATCTTCAAGGGGCACAGTTCAGCCCTTACCAGACGTTCAGGATGGAGGCCTTTTGCGGGGGGCGGGGGGGAGCACAGGCCCTGGCAAACATTTGGCTGCTTGGACCTGGCCCTGCTCCCTCAGGTGAGTGCTCAGTGGCAGCCTGAGGTGTGCCCCCCAGGGGCAGATCTTTGATGGAGGGACCTCCTTGAAGGTATGTGATGGAGGCACCATCTTTTCTCAGGCACTTGTGGGGGTGACTACCTACGCCAGCTTCCAGGAGGGCAAATGGGGCTTGAGCCAGGAACATCCTCTGGGCACCCAGGTCCATCAGAGCACTGCCCACACTGACGCTCAGCGTCTGTGTCTGTGGTTGGGGCCCCTTAAGGGCAGGGGGCCTGAGTCATCTGTCCCCAGGTTTGTCCAGCCCAGGTTGTGCTCAGGGGATGCTGATAGACTGAGCTTTGACCAGATGTCTCACCTTCTGTCTGTTTTAGGGAAATCCAAGAGGAAGAAGGATTTACGGATATCCTGCATGTCCAAGCCACCTGTACCCAACCCCACGTGAGTCTACCTCAGTTTCTCCCTTGGTTCAGCTGGGGGAGGCTTCCTGGAGGGAGCCCAGAGGTGGGGAGCAAGCAGGGGCCAGCAGGTTCCAGAGAGTACCTCCTATGAACTGGGCGACCACAGGGTCTCACAGGTGTTATAACTCTGCTCTCAGTCCCCTTCTCGCCCATCTCAGAGATGTAGGGGTGAGGCTCTGGCCATGGCTGTGTGACCACGCCTTGTGTCTGGCCTAGCAGAGGCTCTGTGACTGAGACTGGGTGCTTTGAGAAGTACCACGTCCCTGGGCTGCCTCCCTAGGGTGGGATGCGTCTCTGTCTCCTATGCCGGGCTCATTTGCTCCTTCTCTCAGGGAAGGATGTGGTTCTCTCTGAGGCTCATTGGGTCTGCTTCCTCCCCACAGACCCCCCCGGAACCTCGACTCCCGGACCTTCATCACCATTGGAGATAGGGTAGGTACCAGCTGCACCCCTGGGGCAGGGCCTTCCTATCTGAACCTCAGTGTCTTCGTCTGATAAATGGGCCCAAGCTGACCCTATAGGGCCAGTGGGAGGTGGCTGTGGGTGGCAGAGAGAGCTGGGCTTTGGCGAGGAGTCTCACTCCCCAGATGTTGGCTATGTGGCCCTGGGCTGCCCACTCTCAGACCCTCTCATCTGGAATGGTGACAGTTGGCCTGCCTCTCGGGGCCCTGGAGAGCCAGAGTTGGCATCGAGACTCCTGATCTCAGAGTTGGGGTCATGGGGTCACCAGTGCCCATGTCACCTGCGGGAATGGGGTGTTGAACATGTGGCCTCCTGTCTCTGTCCTCACAACCAGCACCCGGGAACCTGTCTTGCACACGCACATCCTGATGGCTTGGTCACCAGGGATTGAGATCCCATTGCAGGGACTGTGCTTCCCCCACAGGTAGAGACCCCACTGTGGAGGCCTCTCCTAGGCCGATGTCCCTCCCTGACACGTGTCAGTGTGCAATGTCCTGCTCATCTAATAGCTTATCCTTTTCTTGTCTGCCTTACAGTAGAGGGCAGGAGGGGGAGCAGGTGGCCTCGGGCACCTGTGAGGGCAAGACCTTTGTTTTGTTCTGTATTTAGGGCCTAAAACACCTTGCACACAGTAGGTACTCAGTAAATACCAGTTGAGTGAATGATCCCGTCCTACCTCCTGAATAGAGTGGAGGGCAAGAGGAAAAGGGCATCTCTTGAGCTCCTGGTGCCAGCTGGGGGCATTTCATAGGCGGTCTTATTTCTACCTTGCAATAGCCTTAGACGTTGGCTATGCTTGCTTTATAGAGGGTGAGGAGTCCGAGAGGTTGAGTGACCTGCCCCAGGTCATGCAGCAGAAGGTGGTTGGTGTAGGATTTGAGTTCAGATCTCACTGACTGGCTGCTTCCTCTTCCTGCTGCCCAAGCACTCCACTGGGAGAGTGACTCCAGGCTCCTGACTGTGGTCTCTCTTTTATCTGTCCCCCAAGAACTTTGAGGTGGAGGCCGATGACCTGGTGACCATCTCAGAGCTGGGCCGAGGAGCCTACGGGGTGGTAGAGAAGGTGCGACATGCCCAGAGTGGCACCATCATGGCCGTGAAGGTAAGCAGGGCCCCACCCCATCCCTGCCCCAGCCAGCCAGGGAGCTCCAGGCCGCGGGATACCTGGGAGGGGAGGCTTCATGGAGGAAGCATGAGAGCCGAGCCAGTGGTACTGCCTGTGGGAACCTGTTGGAGCTCCTAGTCTTCCTATAGGGGATGGTGAGGTGGTTACCCTTTGCCTCATGGCCCCTAAACTGTGACCCTGTCTCCTGCAGAGGATCCGGGCCACCGTGAACTCACAGGAGCAGAAGCGTCTGCTCATGGACTTGGACATCAACATGCGGACGGTCGACTGCTTCTATACTGTCACCTTCTATGGGGCCCTCTTCAGAGAGGTGCGGCCCTGGTGGGAGGGTGGGAGGTGGGGGTGCAGGCTGGGGGCTCAGGCTGCCCCATCCCACCTTCCTTCTGTACACCTGCCCCACTTTGGCTACCCTACAATCTGTTGTTGCTCATGCTGGACCCCCCGCAGATGCTTGCTCAGCACCCCTGTCCCGTGTGTGCCAGGTACTAGGCACAGCAGTGGGTGAGATGGTGCATGCAGGGTTCTTGGGAGCTCAGGCAGTCTGGCTCTCCTGCTTCCTGCCTTAGTTTTCTTGTCTGTGAAAGAAGCAGTAATTATATCCACCTCACAAAGTTGCATGAAGATAAAATGATGTGACCTAGGGCCTGGCATTCCCTCTGCCTCTGGCACCACCTGCTTGCTTCACTAGCATCCAGGCTGGCAGCATGGGCTTCCGAGCAAGGGCACCAAGGAGGTGTGCGCAGGTCCAGTTCTTGGTCTATGGGAAGGATGGGTTGTGGGGTGAGAGAGGTCAAGGGTGATGCCAGGGAGTGTGGCTAGCTGCAGTGGAAGGACGGGCTCCTGCTGGCTGCTCCCTGAGCATCTACCCGTACCCAAGCATGCTTGGTGCCATGGATCCAGTGGTGGGTCAGCGCCTCGTTGTCCACTTGTCTGGTTGGCTAAGCGCCTGCTGTGGGCCAGGTGCAGGCTGCTCCTCTTGCTGATGGGAAGAGACGCACACCTGGGCGTCTCTGTGTGCTGGGTCAGAGTTGGCAGGGAGGCATGTGGGCCACATAATCCCTAAGTCCCCCAGGGAGAGGCCATACCCAGCCTTCTCAAAACACTGTCCTGGAAGATAGGTAGGAGTTTGTGGGGGAGCTGGGAGTTGGGGAGGCCAGGCTCTGCAGAAGAAGAAGGGAGCAGTCTATCAAGGCCAGAGCGAGGATGACCCCGTGTGTGTTGGGGGCCACAGTGGCTGAGGTTAGGAGCATCTGCAGGGCTGGGGTCATGGCCCCGAGCTGCAGCCGGGCCTGAGAGCCCGCTTTCGGAGGGACGCAATTAGGTGTGTGTTTTAGTCATTTCTTTCTAGAAACTACCATGGAATTAGGGATTAGGTGCAGGAGACCAGAGGCAACAGAGCTGGGTAAGGCTGGCAGGTGTACTGCCCACTAGTATACATAAGCATGGAAGGTGGAGAAAAAAGTAGAAAATTTTGGGGTGCAAAGTAGGAGGTAAACCTCCCAGCTTGGTAAATCTCTTTGGGCTGAAGTAGAGGAGCCTGACCATTGCTGAGAGCCAGGCATGTGCAGACTCGGCACCAAGACAGGCTGTCCAGACACCAGTACAGCCTCGGGCTGACACAGGCTGACCTCCAGGTGTCCTTCCACAGGGAGATGTGTGGATCTGCATGGAGCTCATGGACACATCCCTGGACAAGTTCTACCGGAAGGTGCTCGATAAAAACATGACCATTCCAGAGGACATCCTGGGGGAAATTGCTGTGTCTGTAAGTGGCCTTGGGCTTGGGAGGGGTTGGGGGTTCCAGGTATGTAGCCAGGGGCCCCAGCCCTACCCCAGCAAGTGCAAAGCCCAAACTAAGGTGATAGCTTGAGCAGAGCTGGATCCCTAGTAGGGCCCTGCACCTGGGCAACTGCCCTGCAGGGAGCCAGCTCTCCCACCCTGCATAGAACTTTCTTGCTGAGGAGACCCCAGAGCCTGGGGCTACCAGAGCCACACCGATTTGGCAGATCTCAGGTCTCTAGCTTTTGTGTGCAACTCCTGAGCTGTCTACACTATTTTTTACAAAATGACTTAGTATTTACGACTTCCTCCTGCCAAAAATGCCCTGAGGCAGTTCACAGAGGCACAAGCTATGCTGGGAGGAAGCTTAGCATCCACAGTGTTTGCCTTTTGAGGTAAGATGTTTCTAGAGCAGGGTAATAACACTGGGCTTGAGCATCCTGGTAGCCAAAAGGAAAAAGGAAATGCTTCTCAGTCCTGACTACATCTGGGAACTTTTAAAACATGCCATACCAGAGTACTGAGTCAGGATCTTTGGGGTACTTGTCCGCGTACATCATTTCCCTGTAAAGGCTTGGACCTGAGACCCTAACCTGTCGGGTGGGTGGGAGAAAAGTGGGAGGCTGGGTGTGTCTGCACTGAGGTGGCCACGCACCAGGGTGAAGGTTGGGATGTGGGCAAGAGCCGGGCAAGCTGCGGGGTGGGTGTGTATGGGTGAGAGGGAGACAGATGGGCACGGCTAGGGGGTCTCAGCTCTGTCGTGCTTGATGCAACTAGGAATAATAGCAGCCTTGTCTTTTCTCCTCTTGCTCTGAACGCCAGATCGTGAGGGCGCTGGAGCACCTGCACAGCAAGCTGTCGGTGATCCATAGAGGTCAGTGCCCCACCGCGGACTGTGTGGGAGGGGCCTGCAGGCTGCAAGGAGGGTGCCACCTCAGGTGATAAGTAGTGATTGGTGTGCCCACTAGGGTCACGAGTTGAGCCTGCTTCCCAGTCCAGGCCACTGTCACTTCTGCTAGCTGTTGTCTTTAGGTCCCTCGGTGGTTTGCTGGTACTAGGAGCAATGATGGGGCTTTCGTCCTGGGAACGCTGACTGAATTTGTTTTGACAAATTGTTTATGTATCATGAAACACACAGATCCGTAGTTAGCATTTGATGAATCTGTTCAGAGTTTACACCCACATAACCCTGGCCACTTTCAAGACGCAGGATGTCCCACCTTCTACCCCACCCCAGAAAGTTCTCCGTGCTTCTTTTGGTCAGACCCTGCCCCTATGTTCCCTCTCCACATCTTGTCTGGTGTTTCCCACAGCAAATCGGTTTTACTTGTACTTGAACTTCGCATAAATAGATAAGACATGGCCTCTCTCCGGCCTCTTTCCCTCGGCCTAATGTTTCTGAGGCTCACGCGGGTTGTGTGTGTGGTAGATCCTTCCCTTTCACTCTGAGTGGTTCACTCACCCAGACATATTGCTTTTCACCAAGTGCATTAGACCGAGCCGGCTTTGACTGCTCAGCGGCCACCCCAGCCCCTGCCCCCAGGTCACCACTGTTGGCAGGTCAGCATGGAACCTGCTGGTCCTTTTCCTGTGCATTTCTGTCCTTATGCCCATGCCCTGTAGAAAGGGATGGAGGTTGCTCGTGTGTTGTATATGCTTTTGCTGGAAGAGTCCCTGCTGTATGCCCTGTAGCCTGCTCTGCATGGACCTCAAGTTGTAGCCTGGCCTCTGTGTTTCCACAGACCCCTCCGTGTCCTGTGCTTTTGCTGCTGCCCTGTGCCTCCTGGCCGAAACGCCCAGCCTCTCAGCCTGGACACTGGGGGGCTTCTGGGTCTGCAGCCTGTTAGTGGTGCTGTCCCCCAGCAGATCCCCAGCACAGGAGGACCCCGGGGCTAGAGGTTCCACCAGGAAACAGGCAGAGTCCTGGCTGCACAGCCGGGATGAACCTCCCCCTCTGGACCTTGTGTCCAAAGTGCTGACAAGGCACAAAGATGGGGTCCAGGTAGAAGCTCACGTCCATCCCCACTTGTGGCCAGTAGCCAGGGCGTGTTCTTGCTGTTCTGCTCCCATCTTTGCTACCTGGGACTGGGAGAGCACCTGGTAGAACCTCATGTCTCCTCTACTCCCCGAGCCATGGTATCATGTGCCCCTGTGGTGGTTGGGGCATCGAGGAGCCTGTTGGCCTCCTGCAACGCCTCACAACCCCTGAAGGCACAGAAGATGTGTTCTATCCCTGGCAGACGTGAAGCCGTCCAATGTCCTCATCAACAAGGAGGGCCACGTGAAGATGTGTGACTTTGGGATTAGTGGCTACTTGGTGGATTCTGTGGCCAAGACGCTGGATGCCGGCTGCAAGCCCTACATGGCTGTGAGTGGTCCCCATACCATCCTGAGTCCCCAGCCACAGCTAAGGTTCAGGAGGCACGTGCCTGGGAGAGCATTTTCAGGCCATGTCATCTGTCCATTGGGGACAAGGCCTCTCTGAGGCTCTCTGTTTCCTACCACAGCAGGGGTAATCTGCTGCCCAGCTTGGCCAAGCAGCCCCTCTCTCCCCTGTTATTAGCTGTGCCCCAATGTGCCCATTTGGATGATAAGTTTCATGAACACTTACAGGGAGGTAACCTGTGGGATTAGTGTAGGCCCTACCCCTCTCCCAGTGTCTTGAGGGTGCCCTCCCTCCGTGGGCAGCGGTGCCAGTGAGGATGGTTTGGGCCTTCACCACCAGACCCTGGTGCTCACTGGCCTCACTTCTCTCACCTGCTCAGGAGCAGTGGGGAGGGGGATAGGATGAGCCTGACTCTTCTGTTTGGGATTAGAGAAGCAAGACCTAGCTGAGGGAACCTTGCGTGGCCCCTATCTGGCCCCTCACCGTGGGGTGGGTGTTCATGCCTCACTGATCCCTTTTACAGCCCGAGAGAATCAACCCGGAGCTTAACCAGAAGGGCTACAATGTCAAGTCCGATGTCTGGAGTCTCGGCATCACCATGGTAACTACTTGGAGCTGGGTTTGGCCCTTGCTGGTTGGGTGGGGCCTGGGGACCAAGGTGGGGGGCGGGGCATGCTCAGTCCAGGAGCTTCAGGCAGGCCCATCAAATAGTTTAGGCCTGGAAAAAAGTGTTGGCTTCACAATCTGAGAAGAAAACGTGTCATCAAAAATGATGCTGTACCTAAGGGAGTATGTATAGTGGTGTTAACCCCTTCCTGAGGGGGAGGTGTGATAAGTGGTCTATTAGACTTGCCCCAGAGCTCATGGTGCTTGTTGAAAAATCACAGCCAATTCCAAATTCAATGAATTCTTGGTACCCGAATAATTTACAAAGCAAAATGGAAAAAAATCTTAAGAATACTGTTTTTCACAGTGTGGAAACATTGCCACTCGTGAGGTCGTCATGCATTTCCTGGAGTGTGGTGGGCTGGGGTGGGTGGGCTGTCAGTCCTGGGACTGTAGGCACTGGGAGAGCTGAGGGCGGGTGCCTGGCCACATCTGAGGTCCAGGAGGAGGTCTAAGCCTTTGTGCCTCTCCTTCTTTATTGAACTGCACAGTGAATCTCTGCCCCTGCTGAGTCAGGGCTTGGCTCAGAAGTGGGTCAAGGTTTAATTATGTATGAATTTAGAAAGCCCATTCTGGTACCCATGTGGAGAATGGGCTGAAGGGACACAAAAAAGACCAGGATGCTAGTCCCCTGCCAGGGTACCCAGGAAAATGTTGCTGTGATGGTGGCCCTAGGATGCACAAGGGACTGACTCAGCTGGCTGAGGGGTCACTGGCCTCTGTCCCCATCCCAACCATTCAAACTAATGGGAAGTGTCCGTGGTGTCTACATTTCCATGGTGTCAGCACCCTCCCTGCCCCAGCTCCTTTGGCCTCCTGGTGTTGGGGACAGGGTACAATCAGTAATCAACAACCAGACCAGTAAAATACCTTTGGGATGGGGTGTGGAGAGGAGAGACTCGGGTGGGAGCAGAGCAGCACAAGCTTCTGAGGAGGTGGGTGTGTGCCTAGTGTGTGCCTGCGGGGCTACATTCAAGGGGAGGCCAGAGAAGAGGTGGGTGGGAGTTCAGGGCCAATGCAGATGTTTTAGATCTTGATGATGTTGCAGGTTGGTGTGTTTTTTTGAAGATTTTATTTATTTGAGAGAGAGAGATAGAGATAGTTACAGAGATAACATGAGAGAGAGAGAGAGAGAGAGAGAGAGAGAAGCAGTAGGAAGGAGAGAGAGAACCAAGCTCCCCACTGAGCAGGGAGCCCGACGTGGGGCCTTGGGATCATGACCTGAGCCGAAGGGGACACTTAACTGACCAAACCACTCACGTGCCCTGATAATGCAGTTTTATTATCCTAATCCTGCTCCTCATGCAAGTGGTGTCTGTGCTCAGTGAGTGGGAAAGGATCAAAAGCAAAATTGTTTTGTCAGAAAATGGGAATTGGGTGATACCTTCAATTTTTCTTACTACTGCCAACACTATCATTTTTCAATTACGCATTTTCCTTTTTGGAGCAGAGGGGAATGTGCCAAGTCTAAAAGTGCACATTATACCTGCAGATAGGAGTTTCCCAACTCCTGAGTTAAAAAATAAGAGCAGGGAACCCTGGGTGGCACAGCGGTTTGGTGCCTGCCTTTGGCCCAGGGCGCGATCCTGGAGACCCGGGATCCAATCCCACGTCGGGCTCCCTGTGCATGGAGCCTGCTTCTCCCTCTGCCTATGTCTCTGCCTCTCTCTCTGTGACTATCATAAATAAAAAAAAAAAAATAAGAGCAGATTCTTGCTGGATTTCCAGACTATACACAACTGGTTGGATGTTAGAGACCCCACTTGGGCACTTGCCACATGCGCACCCCGCTCCCTTCCCTCCGCCCCTCCCTCCCATCCATCCATCCACCTGTCATTCTTGGGGACCCACCACATCCCATTGACGTTCTGATGTCTCTGGGAGAACTTGGGCACCTGTGTGCTAGCAGATAATGTGTAACAAACTGCTCCGCAGCCTGGAGACGTAAAGCACCAATAGTTCATTGTTTCTCACATTTCTGCATTCCGGGCTGGACTAGCCAGGCAGTTCTTCTATGCCACCTGGCTCTAGCTGGGTTCAGGGCTGGGCTGGAAGGTCTGAGAAGGCTTTAGAGATGTGGGCCTCCACGTGACTTCCTCCTGGCTGGCTGCCCGCTAGCTTCCTCAGAGCGTGGTGCCGAGGGTTACTGAAGTCTTGGGGTGCCTGGCTTCCATGAGAGAAGTGCTCTGAACTGCTTGTCCCAGGACTGGCACAGTGTCACTTCTAATTATGTTGGTCAAAGTGTCATAGGCCATGCCAGGGTCAAGGGGAGATAGAGGCTGTGTCTGGATGGGTACTAGCATGCACACATAGGAGAAGCTGTGCTGGCGGCATAGGAGACTGGCTGCTATGGTGAAGGTTAGGTATTTCCCCCAAAAGTTACAAAAGTAATAGAAACATTCTCTAAAAACAGAGAGAGAAAGTAAAAAGAAGAAAAAAATCATCATGGTTCCATTCAAAGACATATAGCCCCTTCTCCCTACCATCGAGTGCCAACACTGTGCATTTCCTTCTAGACATTTTGCCTCTTTCTAAAAAACATCTATGGTTTTTATTTTGCGTTTCTCACTTAGCATCACTCACTCATGTTTCTCTGGATTGTTAGAAACCCCTGTAGGCATCTCTTCAAGAGACACCACAACCATCTGCCACCAGCTACTCAGCCAGTCCCTAATGTGGGATGTTTTATTTGTTTCTGTTTTTTTTTTCCTTCCATCTGAAATCCCTGGTTGACCTGGAGGAGTGACCTCTGAGGCACTGGGTGCCAGGCCTGCCCCTCTGCGTGGTTCTCTTTCAGAACCCCCGCCGGGTAGCCCTCTGTGGGCACTTGACAACAGCCACCAACATAAAGACATGGGATGATATTCGGGAAGGCTCTTGACCATAACAAGTATTTGGTCAAGTGCTGATCGCATGAATTCCTGAGTGGGGTCTCCGAGCATGGCCCTCATGGTCATGGCTGAGACTCAGCCGCCCAGTGGCAGGCCAGTCCCTGGTGCTGGGTGTTTAGACTGCTTCCTAATACTCACTGTTACGGATCACACCGTACCACGCATTTTTCTGCCCAGAGCCTGTTTTGTTTTGTTTTTCATCTTTTGAGCTCATTAGAAAAAATTACCAGGAAAATGGATTACGGGGTCAGGAGTCTGGACAATTTTCTGTTTTCCTAATTGTAAGTCTGGTAGGACCCTAGGTCCTTTCCTGGAAACCCACACAGGATCCTAACTTGTGCTCCTTGGAATCGGTGACAATTCTAGGAAAAAGCATCCTGAATTTGTCCTGTGAAAGCCCACACCAGATCACAAGCGTGCCTGCCGCATTTTGCACACCCTCCATCTGTGGGGTGTGTTTATATCTTGGCTAGAAAGGGGCCTTTAGCCTAATGGGAAGGCCCTTTCTTAGCACAATAATTAGTAAGCTGTTCAGGCGCCAGTTGCCAACACGAAGCATTTGTTTGAGCTGAGGTCTCTTGTGTTCATTATGGTGATTATGGCCTGTCAGTGAGAAGTCTCTCTGCTGTTTCAGGCGGGGGGCCTGGGCTGACCTGGTTTTTTTTTTTTTTTTTTTTTTTAAACTCAGCAGTCAGAATCAACCCAGAGTTTGTTGTTAGATAGCTGGTATTTTCCACAAATGACTTCCCACCAACTGTAGGCAAGGCATGTGGCTAGGGGTCTGGCACGGGTGCAGAGGCCAGGCGGCCTCAGTGCCCCCTGCAGGGAGTCCAGGGGGTCCGCAGGGAGGGGGAAGTCTTCCCGGAGGAGGGGGCCTTGGAGATGGGTCCTGCTGGCCACTGATGAGGGTTGGGGGGAGTAGAAGGAGCAGCTGCAAACCTCAGTGTCTGATGGGGCCCCAGGGGGCCGTTGCCAAAGTAAAGGAGCTGACCAAATGCAGGTCTCAGCATCTCCAGCTTCGGGGAGAGGCAGGCTGACGGGGATAATTTCATTTCCCCTTTGCCTGCTCTGGCATAATGACAACTACCCAAATAAACGGCAGCAGATACTTAAGACCCTGTGGAGACGTTAGGGAGGGGTGGCGTGTGGTGAGCGGGGAAGCTGCTGCCTGTCCCACACGCCTTTGCCGCCTTTGCCGCCTTTGCCGACTGCTGCCCTGGGGGAGGGTGTCAGCGCCTCTGATTTTTCCAGATTAGTTGGCACTTGGGTTTTTATGTAAAGCCTTCTGAATTTAGGTTGTATGAAAGCCTGATGATGCTCGAACCAGTGACAACTCTGGGCTGGATTTGCTTCCTGAGCCAGTGTGTGCAGGCTGGGTCAGAGGAAGCAACGCTTGCTGTTCCCCCGGCTTTCATCTTCATTTTGATGTCATGTGTCTGCCCCTCAACCTGCCTTGTGGCCCAGCTTTGGGTGGCAAGCCAGGCCAGACAGGTTCCCCAAATGCCCTGCTCCTGGGGGCAGAGTGTGCGCGCATCTGACCAGAGCTACCGCCCCCACTGCAGATTGAGATGGCCATTCTACGGTTTCCGTATGAATCCTGGGGGACTCCGTTCCAGCAGCTGAAGCAGGTGGTGGAAGAGCCATCTCCCCAGCTCCCGGCCGACCGTTTCTCTCCTGAGTTCGTGGACTTCACTGCACAGTGGTGAGTCTGCAGCCCTGCACTGGCTCTGGGCCCCCCCAAGCCCCAGGTGGCACCCTTCCCTACTCTGGCCCAATTCCAGCTCCTCCTGGTGCCCAGTCCCCTCCTCCGTTAGCAAATAACCGCCGAACAGCATGTCATCAGAATATGCAAGGCATTAATAGAGCATAAGGAAACTGTGGCAAACTATGGTCCTTGGGGAGATTTTAATAGTCCTTCTAGAGACAGACAGACCAGGCAGCCAGGAAAAGAAAACAAAGAGCAGACGGAGGACTTGAGTAGCAGACAGAGTTGCTTTATTGACGCGTAGAACTTTGTACCAAGGTAAAGAATGCCCATGGGAGCTCTATTTAAAAAATATGTTCGAGATTGAAAAGGAAACAGGGAAAAGGAAGAAGGCAGAGTCATCCAGGTCATGTTCCCTGCCCATAATTACATCAAACAAGAAGTGCGTAACTGCAGAGGGATGAGATATGTGGTAATGCAAAGTAAATTCTTCTGACCAACTCTTGGAGTTGTTTTGTTTTTTTAAGATTTATTTCTTTGAGAGGGAGGGAGAGAGGGAAGGGTGAAGAGGGGCAGAGGGGGAGAGAGAATCTCCAGCAGACTCCCTGCTGAGCATGGAGCCCAAAGGGGCGCTGGATCCCATGACCCTGAGGTCATGACCTGAGCCAAAACCAAGAGGCAGACACTTAACCGACCAGAGCCATCCAGGCATCCCCCAAGGCTTGGATTTTGACAGAGATTTGAAAAATAAAAATACAAGGTATTCAGAAGTGAAGGACAGAAACCATCGACATATCTGTGTATCGTGGGCAAAGGGATGCTTGGAGGAAAATGTCTATCCTTTATTTCTTTTATGAGAAAATAAAAAAGACCGGAAACAAATGAGCATGGCAAATGGACCGGCTTGTCACCTTGACCCTTTACACAGGGCCTCCCCGGCCCCAGGACCCGTGATGAGGAGTTTCCCTCCTGATTATGGACCCCATGTGTGCGTGATTGTTATCTACTGCATTTCAGTATCATTTGGTATCAGAGCGTTGAGGATTTCCTGGATTGCTCTAGATATAAGAAAACGAATACCCCAAGAGGCAGAGAAGCTTGGTCCAAGTCTGTAGTTTGTACCCCCAGATCCCACTCCATCCCCACGGGTCCCCAGGGCAGTCCCACCCCTGCTTCCCAGAGCCCAGGAGCACATGTGTCCTCACTGCCCAGTTAGCGGGGAGCCCACCTGGCTTGGCTGGCTGGAGACCTCTGTCATGCCAGCCTGGCTCCAGCCTGCCCTGTTCTCTCCTAGCTTGAGGAAGAACCCCGCAGAGCGCATGAGCTACTTGGAGCTGATGGTGAGTGTGGGGCGTGAGCGGTGGACTGGCGGGGCTGGGGGGGAGGGCTGCATACCTGTGCACAGGGATGGCAGCACCCTCGGCTTGCCTCTGTCTTCGTTCCTTCAGGTACTCAGTTCACTCAAACACACCCTGGCTCCTTCCTCCCTCCTCCACACCAGGCTTGGTGGAGGGCCACACAGGCAGTGCTCCCACAGATGGTGCAGAGGGATGGGGTCGGGGGGAGGGAGGTGAGCCACTTTATCCGAAGGTATCAGGGCAGGCTTCACAGAGGAGGTGACATTTGACCTGGGCTTGGAAGGACTGACAAGGGTTCATACCTGCTGATGGAGAGGGCATTCCCCTTGGCCAGGGGTTTGTGTGGGGAAGAGTGAGCTCAGTGTGGCCAGGGGATGGCTGCAGGAGGGCAGGGGAGGAAGCCATCGATGCTGTCTCAAGCAAGGAGGGCTTCCTGAAGATGGAGGTCCTGGAAGGCTGAGTAGGAGTCTGTCAGGCAGAGAGAGTAGTGTCCCGGGCAGGAGCACACGGGGGCCGGGGGTGCTTTGGGGAATGTAGGAGCATCTCTACGTCACTTCCTTACCCCTCTGCCTCACCAACGAACCCTTACCCAAGGTGACTGTCTTCTCTTGTCCCACCAGGAGCACCCATTCTTCACATTGCACAAAACCAAGAAGACAGACATTGCGGCTTTCGTGAAGGAGATCCTGGGGGAGGACTCATAGGGGGCAGGGCCATGGACTGCACTGGGCCCTCCAGCACCCTACAGCCCCCTCTGCTGGGGCAGTGCTTGCCCATGCCCAGAAGCTACTGCCACCCCAGCCTTGGGTGTTTGGGGGAAGAATCGAGGGGGCTGCTCCTGCCTGGCTCGATAGCAGGCCGTTGGTCCCAAGTGCCAAAGAACCAGACCACTGGGGCCCTCAGCCAGGCCCTTGTGGACCCCACCAGTGCCTCTGCCCCTGCTGCTTCAAGGACCCCATCTCCAGCCCCCGAGATCCTGGACTTGGAGGGGCCCGGATGGCAGACCCTATTGCTCCTCACAGAGAAGGCAGCCGGTGCCCGTGTGCGGGAAACTGCCGTGGCCCAGCCCTGGATGCCACCCAAGTTGTATATTTTTTTAATCTCTTGACTGAATGGACTTTGCAAACATTGGCCTAGGGTGGCCATGCCTCTGTCCTGGCTTCAGTATTTGGGGGGAGACACACTCGGGGGATGAGCCATGTGAATCCTCCTGAGTCCCCATGAGTGAGACAACAGCCACCCGAGCCTTCACCCTGGCAATGGCTAATAAGGCCTCTAAGGGCACACGGGCTCAACCTAGCTCCCGCCCACTGCCTCGGGAGGGGGTTTTCACTTTTTTTTAATTTATCCTCTTGATTTTTTTTCTTTTGCTTTGTGGGTTTGACTGGTTTTTCTTGCATGGTTTGGAGCCGATCACTTTTCTCCCACCCCCTAGGGACCAGCAGGTGGAGATCCCTGTGTCTCTGCTCAGTCTGGGGTCTAGGGGGATGGGCCCAAGGTCTCTGCTCAGAGAGGTGCTAGGGGAGCTGTCTAGCTCACTCTCCTTGGGGACCGGCTCAACGGGGGCTGTGGATTTGCTTTTGGTGTTGTTTAAAAAAAAAAAGAAAGAAAAAATATACTTTTTGAAGAAAGGACTGCCCAGGGTTTTATCCCTGATAGGTCGGGGCAGTTACCTGATTGCTGTTTTAATTTAAAAAAAAAAAAAGGAAAAGTAGAACAACAGTTGTGTGAGACTGTGTATCAAAGCGGCGAGCTCCACTCCGTGGTGAAGATCTGGGGCCCATAGGAGGAAGGGTCAGGGCTAGGGCAGCGTGGTCAGGGAAAGAGGTCCTGCTGAACCCTTCAGGGCCCTGCACTTGACAGACCCGTGCACATGTGAGGATGCTGAAGCTCCCAGCTGAGGCTCTAGGCCCTGTGCTGGACACTGGGCCGAGCAGCAGACGTAGGCCCAATCCACTGGTGGATGCGCCTGTCCCCCACTGGTGAAGACTGCATTGCCAGGTGCACACAGGGATGAGCACGTGCCAAGCACTGCACCCCAGCCTTGACATGGTCACCTCATCAAGCATGTTGTGTTACTGGCTCAGATGACGTTGGTACCCTGCTGTACAGATGTGAAAACAGGTTCAGAAAGTTGAGAAAAAGCCGTATACCTTGGAAGGCTGAGACACGGAGGCTTGGGGACAGATACAGGTCCCCTCTGAGGGGCCTGGGGGGCAGCTCAAGGAAGGCTCCTTGCCAGGGTCCAGTGTGGCCCTGCAATCCTGTGATCCTTGAGGCCTGGGCGAGGGCTGACACCCTCCTTCAACAGACTGAAGCAGAAGGGATTTATTTATTTATTTATTTATTCATTCATTCATTCATTCATTCATTATTTATTTATTTATTTTTTATGCTCATGTAAGAACTGCGGTGGGCTTCAGGCATCATTGGATCAAGGAGCCTGGTTCATATCCTGAAGAATCCGTGCCCCCCTTAGCTTGGCTTCCTGTGTCTGGGTTTCGGATTCGCACTTCCCTGGTGGGGACAAGTCGCAGCCGCTTAGCAAAGCCCCAGCGTAAGTGTCCAGGCTGGCTCCCCGGAGTCGCATGCCGGTCCTCCTGCCAGTCACAGACCAGGAGGATCAAACGTGGGAGAGTCAGCCCGCCCACATCTCCAGGTCTGAGGGCAGGGCCTCCCTGGTCGTGGGTGGGAACTGGGGCGCGCTCCCGGAGGGAGGCATGGATCTCTTTGGGGTCCATCTGTCCTCTGCCTTTGTGCACACTCCTCTCAGCCTCAGTTGCGCCGGAAGGGAAGTCCGCTCTTTGCTCCAAGGTGGTCCTCAGTCTGGGACAGGCTTCTGCGGCGAATCCCTCCTGGGCACGGCCCTCCGTCTTTCCTCAGGCAGGCAGTGGCCCCCTGGCTCTGCCATCGGCCTGCAGCGCCCCTCCCGCACCTTCCCGGGCTGCCTGGCACCCCCAGCCCGTTCGTGGGCGCAGCCAGGCTAGCTCCTCTTCTCCGGCTTTACCTGGGTGCGTGCGCCCTGCCACTGTCGTGTCCCCAAGCCGGCCTCCAGCGAGCGTCCCGCCAACCTCCGGTGAATGAGGCTGCGAGTGAATGGATGGCTACGCGAGGGGAAGGAGGCGGGCGTGAATGAACTCCGGAGCCCGGCCTGTGGGTGCGCGCGTGGACGCAGGCGCGTGCGCGGACCGCCCGCAGGCCCGCGTGTGTGCGCGCACACGGCCGGCGGGACCGAGGCCCCGGGGCGCGGCCCCCGCCGTTCCTCCCGCCGCCACCAGGAGGCGGCAGAGCCCCGACTTTGACCCCGTGTCCTCGGAGCCCCGCCCAGCCTCGGAGCGCCCTGCCCCCACCCTGCGGCCCGCGCTCCGACCCTGGCGGGGCGCGGTTGGTCACCCCGACTGGCTGGCTTGCGCACCCCCACCCGTCTCTGCGCGCATAGGGCGGGGTGGGCGCTCCAGGCCTGACGGACAGGGACCCGGCAGAGGCCTGACTCGTCTGCAGCATCCTGTGGGTGCACAGCGCTCTGTAGCTGGCAAATGGCTCCCCGGTTCACAGAGAGCAAGACAGTTCCCGAAGGACTTTGCAGAGCTCTTTACAAAACAGTTTGCAAAGCCCTGTACTGAATTATAAAGCATTTTGTAGTTTACCAAGTAGTTCACAGTTTGCCAAGTACTGGCCCCGTTAGAAAGCACTTTAGAGTTTGCAGATTCCTCCACACATTAGTTCGAACACCAGTTGTTTGCGGGTTCAGTTACTATTTATGGGATCCTCCAGCTCTTACAAAGGGGGTCCAGGAATCCAAGTGGGAGATGCCCGTGTGCAGATAATTTTGACATTCACAAAGGACATGCTCAGTCCACGGGCCCTTGACAGTTTATATAACCTATGACCTCAGTGAAGGCTTCCTGCCTGCTCCTCCCTGAAAGTGGCGGGGTCCCCTCTTCCCTGTCCCCAGGCTGTGAGGTAGAGATCAGAGGTCCTTCTGCTAAGGGCGGGATGTCTCTGTTTCTCTCCAGGCAGCGAGGTCTGCACGGTGCCTATTCCTGGGGCCAATGAGCCTCACTAGACTGAGAAACAGGTGGCAGAGGCAGTGGACTTCCTGTTTTAATGACAGTTTTGAGAGGCTCCTCATCAGGTAGCATTAAAATGCAGCATTCAGGCCTGGTCGGGAGTGGGAAAGCAGCCTTCGAGGGAGGATTTGGCTACTTCCCTTCTGCCAGGGAAGGCAGCCTTCCTTGTTATGTGTCAGCCCAGTCTCTCCTCGTGAGAACAGGACTGTGGTTCCCTCCTCCCCTAGTCCAAGCCTCCTGCTGGCCCACAACACCCACACCAGCTGGCCCACCCTATCATCACTTTCCCACTTATTCCCTGAGCATCAGACACACAGCGCTCAAACACACCTCAGGGCCTTTGCACTGGCTATTCTCACTGCCCAGAACAGTCTCCCAAGATGTCCTCCTGGCTGACTCAGATGTCCACATGTGGCCTCCCTGAACGCCCTGTCACTCTATCCCATCACCCTAGCATATTTTCTTCTCTTACTCAGAGCCCGGAATAGAGAGGGGTCACTGACAGGAAATGGCAGGTGCAGGTACGGTGCCCTCTGGCCTCAAGGCTGAACCTTGAACCAGTGCAGTGAGGCCAGGGGAGCCCAGCCTCGCTGGGTCTGGGGGTGGGGGGATGGGGCCGCAGTTGTATTGATTCTGGGGCATAGGTCCTGGGAGGCCACCCCCTCATTGTACTGCCTGGGGCCCCTGCACCTCGGAGAACGAAGCAAATAGCTCAAAGCCACCCAGCAAGCAGCAGCAAAGCTGGGTGCTGAGTGCTCAGTTGGTGTCTCCCAAACATCAGCTGCCTGGCTCTGTGTCTGAGCGCAGGGCTCCCTGTGATGCTGCAGAGGACCTCGATTCAGGGTGAGTCCCTGCTCCAGTTTGTCAGCCTGTTTGGGTGACTCTGGCCCAGGGAAGAGGGAGGGGCTAGCAAATGGCTCCCAACCCCCAGCTTTATCTTGGGCCCCGCTGCCTGTGGGCAGGGGCGGTGGCTGAGCAAGCAGGCTGCTGTCATTTCCTCTCCCAGCAGGGACTTAGCATCTGGCCCAGCCCTCCTGTGCTGTGCTGATGCTTTCCCAGCCAACCCGCCCCCCCCACCACCACCCAGGGTCTGTGGCCTCTGCTTGTACACCTCCCGCGATGGGGAGCTCATTCTCCTTTAGATGTGCTTCCTGGAGGGATCAGAGATTCTTCTTGTCCTGGTTCTACTCCCCGAGGCCTGTGACGTGAGGGCCTCATGAGTAAACCCTGGCACGCTGTAAGTGTTCATTTCTTTGCCTCTTGTGAAAGCCATTTCAAATCCTTTTGGAAACCAGGTGGGAGGGTATATATATACATGAGCTGTGCTATGTTTATCGTAGCTCATGCATCCTCATGCCTGGGAGACGGGTTCTCCTGGAGGTTACAAAGGCTCAGTGAGGATCTGGTCCTGCCCCAGGCCCCCAGACGGTAAAGCAGAGCTGGGTGAACCCAGAAACCCGGGAGTCTGCCCTGCCCCCCACCGCAGCCCAAGCTTGGCCCTACCCTGAGCGAGCCACCTGCCAAGCCAGGTTTAGCTGCATCCACCCCCTCTAGCCTTGCCGAAGCTGTGGGCTGCTCTATTCTTGTCCTGGGCCGGCCTTGCCGCGAGACTTGGGTGGAAGGAGGGCCTGGGAGGCGGCGGCAGCTGTGACCTCTGGTTGGGATGCACCAGCCCAGGAAGTCCGTCCCTTCCATGGCTCCCCATTGCCCCATGGGGTCCAGGCAAAGGGGCTCAGCAGGGATTCTCTACGTCACAGCCTTGTCTGGATCTTTCACTGTAAGACTTGACACCCGGAAGGTGTCATCTGAGCACCCACTGTGTACCAGGCAGTGCTCTGGAATTGGAGCTCCAGTGGGGCCGAGGCCGACCTGGGCCTGCCCTCAGTGAGCTCAGCGAGGGCTTCAGACACGGCACAAGCAAACCCACAGATACTTAAAGCAACTGCTTTCCTACTTCTTCTGCATTATCACTCCCTAAGGAGAAACATCAAATTCAATTAATTAATTAATCAAATCATTTACATTTGTTAAACTTAATTATAATTAAGTAATTAAAAGTGATGAATTAACTCAATTATTTAAATTTACTTTCTCCCTAATGAGAGATATAGTACTAAGGGATAAGATTTTGTCATGTAGGGCCACAAATTATTGTACCATTGAAGTCTTGTTTTCACTCCCCCAAGGATCAGCTAGGAGTATTATAAACTGCACTCAGTGCTGTGAAAGAAAAGGGGGGCAGCCCTGGTGGCTCAGTGGTTTAGCGCCTTCAGTCCAGGGCATGATTCTGGAGACCCGGGCTTCCTGCATGGAGCCTGCTTCTCCCTCTGCCTGTGTCTCTGCTTCTCTCTCTCTGTGTCTCTCATGAATAAATAAATAAATAATCATAAAAAAAGAGAGAGAGAGAGAAAAGGGGACAGGTGAGAATGGGACCCTTACTGGGTTCTGGCCATGGGAGAGAGCCCGCAGCCTCAGAAGGCTACATGTAAGGGGAGTTCCAGGAGGAGGAGGAAGAATTAAGTAGGTGAAGAGTGGAGAGAGCATGCCAGGAACAGCCTGTGCAAAGGTCCTGAGGTGGGAGGGGACTTGGTGCCGCAGAAGAGAGAATCAAGGGTTCAGGCAGATCACCTGGGGTCCTGTGACCTCTGTTGC